TGCTGCTGCCACTGCCACTGCTGCTGCCACTGCCACTGCCACTGCCGCTGCCGCTGCCGCTGCCGCTGCCGCTGCCGCTGATGCTGCCGCTGCCGCTGCTGCTGCTAATACTACAACTTCTGTAGAAGTCGTCGTGGTCGTAGTAGGACTAGTCGGCGTTGCCGTAGTTGTAGTTGTGGTTGCTTTATTCGTAGTGTGTTTACATCGTTTTGGGTCCCACCTGGTTGTGCTACAAATAGTCATAGAAGCCGCTACTAATTTGTATCATTTCGCCAGTTCAGCCCTTGCAGCCATTCCCACCCATTCACCATCTTTTGCACCATGAAACAGGGGCTTGGCGACAGCAACTTCAGCAAGGAGGCTCTGCCAATAGCACCGTCTTGCCAGTTTCGCGTGCTTTGTCAAGGTCCAGTGTGCCTGGGTTCTTAGACTTAGAGTCATCCCTGCACATCTCGCAGACTAAGAGGTCATGAAGCCGCCAGTCAAAGCAACGCATAAACATAATTTCAGTTTTCGCACCTGATGTTGAAGTCCCAGTAAGGACGAGGGTTGTCAAGTCATGGCATGCCCGTTTGCCTACACGCTGGCACTCGACTTCGATCTACTTTCCACTAGTCCCACTTTCTCAGCTCTGTTCAGGCGGCAGTAGACTCCTTGCCCATAAGGCCCTTTGACCTCTTGCAAATCCTCGGCGCAGGCTTGGAAGTTGTCTGGGTTTGCTTGGTAGCACCACTTGTAGCTACAAGAAACGTGGACGTGCTTGTCGCTACGTTGGGCTTTGCTAGCCGCCAGCAGTTTGCAAGCAGCAGTCAGACACCTACGGTCTTCGAATGTAACATACCCAACTACATGACCAAGTCCGTTTGCCAAAGAGACGCCACGGCCAAATCGATGTTGTGACATACACAACGCACCTGAAGCCGCCAACCTCATGCAAGGGTCTTTTGCAAAGAGCTCGAAGCCGATAGAGTCAAAGAGCTGCACGCAGTAGTATGTACCTGGTCAGGCAAGGTTACCCTTAGAGTAGGAAAATGCCCGTGCCACAGACCTACGCATCTTCAACTGGCCATTTAGGTGGCAAGGCCGCTGGCCGCTTGCAGAGCTGTGATGAGCTGTGTGTGGCATCTGCAGGACTGCACAAGCGCTCCCAATTCCCCCCTTTCATTTAATCACGGGTGCTGAAGGTGGAGTCTCGGCACCGCAGCATGGCCAATTGGCAGCTTCGTGCGACTAACCACCGGCTATAATTAGGCAGGTATGTCTTGTGTGTAGAATCACAATCCACTCGGGTGGAAGGTACTTACACCTCTGATGGTGTTGCGAAGCATAAGCTAACGCCAAGCAATTGTCTGCATGCCAGATGCCTTGAACACTCTCCGGCTCAGTGCGAGACTGTGTGCAGAACAAGCATTAACACCAGAAGGGCAGTTGCATCCAAGCCTTTTCGAACTGCCCTAAACTTCTCAAACTTTAGGAACCCTGCAATCCAAAAACCCTTAAAGTGCCCTAAACTAAAACCCCCACAAACACCCTGACTTAATCTACAAGCCATAGGCCATAGATAGATAGATAGATAGATAGATATAGATAGATATATATATATGTATAATAGCCTCCAAACGTCCTGATCCAGGGGTCCCTGGCCCAGGCCGGCTACCAAGATCGGCCCTGGCCAGGGCAGTGGCTCATGCGCCTGGGGCTGTAGGGTTTAGGTAGGGTTTAGGCTCTCACAGCTCGGACATGCCAGGTAGGGTTTAGGCTCTCACAACTCGGACAAGCCAGGCGAGGTTCATACCGGTTTAGGGTTTTCGGGTTTGTATATTATCGTCTTTTTGACGCTCACATGGGGTTTTTCCCTCACACGGGGTTCAGGGCCTGGGGGTTTAGAAATTTATTCGGAGCTCCTTCGGTGGAGTCTTCATTATGAGGATCCTGTCCTACTATTTCCATGATCGGACTCTCCGAGACTACTCAGGTGAGCTATATCTTTCCGGAGGCTCCCGCATTTCGAAAATCCTTGTCCTTCGCCTTTGTGGCCTTTTGATGCAGGGGAAAATGCAAGACCGAGCTGAACGACAAACTCCACTTGCTGGGAGTACATAACGTGTGTCACACGTGGCCGCAACCAAATCCTACGCTTCCTATTCAATGCCTCCCTTGTACTAGCAATGGCAAAAAAGGAAGCATGTCTGCACGGTGTTGATTTTCCAGCTGAAGGTATGCAATCGGCAGGCACATACATGACGTGCGTGAAAGACTCTGTCGAAGCGGCTGCTTTGTGATTTTGCAGTGTAGAGTTTCTCCTGCGGGTTCTCTGAGTGAATGTGTGCTCAGAAGTCTGCAGACAGTCTCATACCACCAAAGACAAACCCTGCTGCTTATATCAACTAGCTGATTAGTCGTCCTCACCATATTCAACAGTGACGAGCCAAATTAACGTTAGTATTTGGCTCTATCCCACCAATCAGGATCAGTGGCATGACTGCACCTGTCCTTGTGTTGGTTGGTGTGTGTGTGTGTGTGTGCGTGTGCTGCAAGCCACAGGGGAAGGTATAAACATAGTTTATAAGGTAGACTGATGCATAAACATAGACATCATTGGCATACACGACAGGATAAACATACAACTGAAATGTGTGATTGTGCACGAGAACACTTTTCAGAATCCGAAAATCCGAAAGTCTTTAAAGATCGCACTTCATCCTTACACAAGGCAGCAAAGTGAGGGAGGAGCATGAATCCGGGGATCATTTTCTCATGAAGTCTTTCTGAACTGGTGCACCCCGAGCCTCGCAAAGGCAAAGCCGCGATGTGGGACCTTCACGAACTATCCTCGGCCATGGTTCTCTGACAAGATCGATTGCCACCAATTTTTGATTGATCTTCGTTAGGTCAGGAGCTGAGGATTCGTCGGCATAGGTGCAGTGCCGCAGATGTCCGCAGAAATCACGACTAAAGCAAGGGGCATCAACGGAGAGTACAAGTAGTGCTGAAGCTTGTGCTCATCCCCAACAGATATTATGGTAGACACAATAACCGTGGCTTCTACATCCCGGTGTGCAACCGAAGAGAGTATGAACAATGCACACGAACCAATAAGGGAGAACACCGACAAAACATGTGGAAGCGAAACTTGGGATACCGCGTGGACAAACGAGTCAATAGATGCCTTGTCTCGCACACCTCAAAACACGTAGACCCCTGTTCAAAGCACGCTCATCACGCTTTATCCTGGCGTCGCACGATGGCCAGTCTCGTACAGTTTGTCTGCAACTTACGGCCTATGAGGTACGATTGCGGCTACATATGCCCTCGTGGCAACCATGCACCCTTGTCAAAAACAAAGTGGATGCTGCCGCTGTTCGATCTTGGGTGCGGGTTCAACACGAAGTTTCAAGTAAGGTGGTGTTCGGGTAATCTGACGGCGGTATCCTGGCAAATGTCAAAGTTGCTCAGGTCGATCGGCCAGGAGAGAGCTTCGCAAGAAAATGATGACAGTAACAGTAGTCATACACATACTGATGTTAATACGATGATTACTAAGATTACTACTACTGACAACAATATGCCGGCCAGTCACCAGCAGACAATCTAATCCAAGCTCCTGAAAAACCTACCTGCACCAAACCCCCATGTGGGAATTAGGGCGGCAAGCGACCAAATGCATTCTTGAGAAGAACTTTCACTGGACAGCGGTGGCATGCACACTGCAATGATGCGCGGGTTGCATCAAAAAGCAGCTGCTTTCTCCATTGCTGCGGGGCCGGCTCAGGTGCGAGGCTAAGTCCTCACTTGCGGCCGACAGCTCCACACAAGCCGAACATTCGGTTCGTGTGGAAGGCCATGTACCCTGAAGCCAGTACTGCAGTCGACGAAGACTTCCTGGCGAAACATGCATCTATTTATCCTATGTATCTGTTCATCTATCTATCTATCCGTCTATCTATACATGCATGCATACATACGTAGTCATTTTATTAATGGTTATGCTTATGCACTTGCTGTTTATTTTGATATGCATATATGCATATCTTTATATATATATATACATACATACATATATACACATGTGTGTGCGTATGTATGTATGTATGTATGTATGTATGTATGTATGTATGTATGCATGACCATAAGAAGAATACTAATAACTGTAACTTGTGTGTGTATATATATATATACTGCTACTACAGCTTGACGATAGCGATCTGAAGGTTGTGGAGATGATTCTACTCAGGTTGTGCCGGCTTCTGAAATAACCCAGTGGCACATACCTTGAATCAGAACGAAATTGGTAAAGACAATCCGGAGTTTGTCTACTGCGGTACATGCACTCTATGGTCATAGGGTGTCTAGAAACCTCTCAGGCCTCAGATCAAGCATCTCGAAGCTGAAGAAGCAGTGTGCACCAACATTACAAGGCTCGGGGCAAGGGAAGCGGCATAAATCCGCCAAATCAAGACGCCCAACCTGAATCCGAGGACGGTCTCCATCAACCCTGGAATCTTCGTCGAAACCTGCGGTCATGAGGTGGGTCCCGCAGGTGGCACGTCTATTTGGGAAGCCCCTTGGAATTCGGACTTACATCAGGCATATATGGCTGGAGAAGTGTGTATGCCATGATGTGCCTATGGCATGCCGCAGTCTGGGCCAAGGCAGATCAAGCGATGGTTCTGGCTCGGCCTTTCTGGCATCGCATGCTGATGTCTGCTGGGCTGCTGGCTTATATGCCGCCTGCAGACTCCTGAAGTGCAAAATTGCGGCTTCGTTACATGGCTATTGTACGTGGCGGGTCGCAGCTACAGTGATACACACCTTGTACACTTTGGGATGGTTACACTAGCAGTCAAGATAACTCTGCAAGCTCGAGAGTCGAATCTTATAGTGTTTGGTAACTGGAGGTAGAAAAGACTGCTGCGACAACTGTCTTACTAGCCTGTACAGTCGCTGCCACACGCCCGCGCTCACGGAACTCACAAGGGCTCTTCGATCCACGAGGGAATTCACCAGCCTTTACCTTTGCCACCGTTTCCGGCCCAGGCGCCTCCACCACAGCCACCCCAATCGCCTCCTCCTCCGCCTTTGCCCCAACCACCACCCCAACCACCGCCGCCCCAGCCTCCTCCTCCCCAGCCTCCACCGCCCATCATCATAGACATCATGTTCCACATGCCATCCATGCCCTTCTTCCCTTTGCCACCACCCTTCCTCTGCTCCCGAGGCGTTGCAAAGACCACTGTGACTTGGGTCATGAGCCCCTGTGGGACATTGCCGTTGACATTCTCCACAATCCACTTGGCATCATCCACGGTGTTCATGATCACGAAGGCCGCTGCTGCATCCTTGCCCGGCTTCACGGGGAGCACTGTGGATTCCTTCACGGTGCCGTACTGGCTGAAGGTCTGCTTGACGCCCTCGCTCGTGCTGTCCATCGGCAAGCCAGTCCTCGGGGCGCAGTTCCCGTGGTGCAAGAAGTCTACTGCCTTCCCGGACCTACAGCAGGACCTACTATAGGCACTCACCCACCGTCTCTGCCATCGCTGCACCATCTCTACAGCACTGCGAAATTCTCCCGGCCAAGGCTCACAAAAAGTGTCTCACTTGGGGGAGGCTGAGTTGCTGTCATGGCCGCCATGGCTCAAACCCCTCTGTGGCAACGATTCTTTGTTCCGGCTCCGGACGCGAAGCACAGACTATCGAAGGCTGCACTCGGACTGCCTTTGTGTGAAATCCGTTCAGTGCCACCTCGTTTGCCTGAGCAGTAGTAGCAAGTTACTGTCAATAGCTATTGCCGCGGTCGAGCTTGTCGAGCCTCGATATGGTATGAGCCGAGGGAGTGCAAAAGGTCACATGACGCTTGGCATCTCCGGGGCTTCTAGGGCATGGCTCGCACATGACTGCGCTGACGTCACCCGTCCTGTGGCAGCCAGCTCATGCGATCGGCGTTTCAATCTTTCCGGTGCTTTCCAACGTCGTTAGCAAGAGAAAGAGAAAGAGAGAGAGAGAGAGGGCCGGAACACACATAGAAACACAAACACACTAAATTCATTCACTAAATGACACAAACAAGCACAAACATCACACGAAGACACAGAAACACAAACACGCGAGCACGCACGCATACATAAAAACACACACACACATATATATATATATATACATATACACAGACATACATACATACGCACGTACATACGCACATACATACATACATACATACATACATACACGCACGCATACACACACAGATATATATATATATGTATGTATGTATGTATGTATGTATGTATGTATTTATGTATGTATGTGTAGACACACATACCTACATAGAGACAGACGGAAACACATACACAGATAGACAGCCAGGCAGCCAGGCAGCCATACAGCACACACACACACAAACAGATATATATATATGCACATACACAATCATACACATATACATAAATGCATACAGTCATACAATCATGCATACATACATACATTACATTACATTGCATTGCATTACATTGCATTACACTACATTACATTACATTACATTACATGACATTACATACATACATACATACATACATACATACATACATACATACATTTTGGCACTTGCACTCGACAATGTCAGGCGAGGTGTATGTCCGACCAAACAAACTCCAAGCTCCTCTCGAGCGCGCATTAACCTCGTGCCTGCTACACTGTGCAACAGGGGCAGCCGAAGTGCATGACAAACATTGCTCAGCTTTACAACTTCAGATTTCCACTGAATTCAGTTCATCGCTGGTCCTCACATACATGCATACATACATACATACATACATACATATGTACATACATACACACATACATAAATACAGACAGACAGACCTGCGTACATACATACCCATATACACACATACGATACACATACGCACACACATACATACATCCATCCATCCGTCCATCCATTCATGCATGCATGCATGCATGCATACATACACATACACACACACACGCATACATACCTTCATACATGCATTCATGCATGCATGCATACCTACCTACCTAACTACCTATATACCTACCTACCTACCTACCTACCTACCTACCTACCTACCTATCTACCTACATACATACATACATACATGCACACACACACACATACACACACACACACATACGCACGTACGTACATACATACATATAAATATACATATAAATATACATACGTACATACATACATACATACGTAGGTATATATGTTCATACGTACACCCGTACATACGTACATACATACATACATACATACATACATATATACATACATACATACATACATACATACATACACCCGCACCCACAACGCATACACCCGCAACCACGCCCACCCCCACCCCCACCCCCACCCACCCACCCGCGTCTGCCTGCCCGCCCGCCCATCCACCCACCCACCCACCCACCCACCCACCTAAACACTGTACCGGTTGTTGCTGTGCGTCAAAGTTACTATAGGGCTTATATGGGCTTATCAATGCTACCGCCTGTGTGTTGCTGAAAAATGAAATATGTAGCAGAGCTGAACAACATCACAGCCGAACTTGCCGTTTGTTTTGGCCGCTGCTTCGAAGGCATGTCGGTCAGCCAGGTATGCCAATTTGCTCCTGACTCCTATAAGCACTGTCTCAAAACTTAGCTGCGTTGCTGAGAAGGCGGCAGATTTCTTGAGACCAGACTCACCACATTCCTCCACCCCATCCCTTTCCACCACCTTTGTACTGGTCGTAGCCTTTGCCGTAGCCGCCGCCGCTCCCCCAGCCACCATCGCCACCCCAACCACCGCCAGCTCCCCCCCAACCACCGGCACCTTTTTCCCAGCCACCTCCGCTCGCACCACCCCAAGCACTTCCTTTGCCTCCTCCTCCGCTTTCGCTTCCCCAGGCATCCCCCGAACCTCCGCCCTTACCGCCCATGGCCGACATCAACATGGCCATCATTTTCATCATCTCCGGCGGCATACCCGTCCCATCACCTTTCATACCCTTGCCGCCAGCGGGACGCTGCGTCCGCGGAGTTGCAAATGACACCGTGACTGGGTTCGACAAGCCTTGTGGGACATTGCCGTTGACATTGTCTATGACCCACTTTGCATCTTCCACCGAGTTCATGATAACGAATGCGGCTGCTGCTGTCTTGCCAGCGGCCACCGGCAGAACGTTCGCCTGCTTCACACCGCCGTACTGTTGGAAGATCTGTTTGGCTTGGACGGCCGTGCAGTCCATCGGAAGACCGGTGACGAAGAGATCCTCGCTGGGAGGACCACCGCGTGGGGGGAGCGCCATGGCTACCTACTCTGCTGCCTAGTGAGCAACTACAAGACCTGTAGACCCATGCACCCAAGGTTTCAAGATGCTCTTTCGAGAGTCCTTGTGCCCACTTCATCTTTGACATGAACGTACTTCAAATCCAAAGGCTGCAGCAACAAATGGGTAGATGTCTGCTCATTCTCAGCACCACGACGCAGCGACCTCCCAAGAAGTTTCTACCTGTTTCTGCAGACATGTACAACGCATGCTCATGCAGCATGTAAGCAGCCAGCTATGGTTTCTGCCACACTCGTTTCTCAGAAGGCGCACACTGCGAGAAGGTGTGTAACCTCGATCGATATACAGCACCGCACCAGCAAAGCTGTGCGTCTGGTCGACATGGGAAGCCATTGTGGCGGCTCAGTACTTGAAGTCGCGAACATGCTCACCAATAGCCACCTGCCATGCCATTTCCCATGGGAAGCCCAAAACCGGCACCCAGGACTGCACCCGGAAATGCTGCTGGAACTGCACCGGGAATTCCCGGGAGTGCGCCCGCGGTGGCACCAGGCATTGCACCCGGAACTGCCTCCGGGCCTGCGACTGCCTCCTTGGCATCAGCTGTATCTTTGCCATCCCCATCCCCATGCCAAAAATGGCAACCGTTCCTGGGGCACGGAACTCCGGCTTCGAAATACCTGCAAATCTGCATGCCTGGGGGTGGCTTGGGCGGATACCACGCTCCCTTTCCTCCTCCCGCAACAGCAGCCACCAAGGGAACCAGTGCCTGCAGCAATGCTGCTGCAGCAGGGTTTCCGCCGCCCTCCGCACCCTTGCCTTTTCCTCCAGCCATGTCCAAGGCAGGAGCAAGGCCGGCAAGAGCCCCAAGAGCTCCCCCAAGGCCACCTTTGTCAAAACCCTTCCCGAAGCCCTTCCCCTTGAACTTGAAGGAAACAGTGACGGGGGTTGTCAGGCTCTGCGGGACGTTGCCATTCACATGCTCCACGATCCACTTCGCATCATCTGCGGTGTTCATCTCCACAACCGCTGCGGCAGCCGTTTTGCCCGGAGCAACCGGGAGCATCCGAGCGTCCTTCACGATGCCATACTGCCCGAAGATGGACTTGCAGAAGTCGTTGGTGCAATCGACCGGGAGGCCCGTCACGAAGAGGGTTGGACCCGGTGGGCCACTCGGCGGTGTGTCTTGCATCATCCTGGCTTGTGGACTTCGCGCAGCAGCTGGACACAAGGGAACACTCTACGGCAAGCTACCGGTCCGACGGACTAGATCCCGCCTAAACACACCTGCTGACACAATACCGGGCAACCCCGCACTTGTTGAAAAGACCTCGTGGCTCTGCTATATGCATGCTGTCCCTATTGACTTACTGAGCGTCGCTTCACATCAACCGGCTTGACAAGAGCACATCGCTGAGCCAGAGCGCGCAAGGCATGCATTGTCATCCGCCCAGCCGCATACCCTCAGGCACATGTCAACGACAACCGAAAGCCGAGGCGATAGAGGCTCATATTTTGGCTGAGTCTGTCCCACTGAGTTGTGACACTTTGCGAGGCATCTCAGATCCGAAAGGCATCGGTGCTGCTCTCACCACGCGCCTTTGCCTCCTTCAGCAGCGCCTCCGCCGCCACCGCCGGCAACAGCAGCCACCAGAGGAACCAGCACCTGCAACAATGCCGCTGCAGCAGGGTTTGGGCCGCTCTCAGCGCCCTTTCCTCCACCCAAGTCCAAGCCGCCGAAACCGAAGCCCTTCCCGAAGCCCTTCTCTCCCTTTCCTTTGAATCCTCTGAACTTGAAGGAAACAGTGACGGGGGTTGTCAGGCTCTGCGGGACGTTGCCATTCACATGCTCCACGATCCACTTCGCATCATCTGCGGTGTTCATCTCCACAACCGCTGCGGCAGCCGTTTTGCCCGGAAGAACTGGGAGCATCCGAGCGTCCTTCACGATGCCATACTGCCCGAAGATGGACTTGCAGAAGTCGTTGGTGCAATCGACCGGGAGGCCTGTCACGAAGAGGGTTGGACCCGGTGGACCACTCAGCGGCGTGTCTTGCATCTTCTTGCTTTGCGGACTTCGCGCAGTCGGTCCGTCACAAAGGAAGACTCTGCAGTAAGCTAGAATCTAGATTTCGCCTAAACACACCTAGTGCCTGGCGCCTGGGCGGGCCGGTAAGCCCCCCCCACTTGCTGGAAAGACCTCGTGTCTGTGCTGTGCTTCTGCTCATGTTGGCTTGCTGCGTGTGTGTTTGTGTGTCTCTGTACGTCAACCCTCATAAGACCAGACCGCTGAGCCGGGGTGGCAAGAAAGCTCTTGCGCCCTCAACGACATGGTGTGCAGCTCGTGCGTGCGCAGAGCCAAACCCCTGGCTGCTCCTTGCACACGGCATGTTGCGAAGAGCTGCACCGTCCGTGCTCAGACTCCAAGTTGAACTTGTTCAACAGACCGGATCTAGTTAGAGGAGTCTAGGGTGGGGCTGAGACTTTCAATGCATGCGAAAGGCTAGCTTCTGTCCGTACATTCAGCACATTGTGGTACTAGCCTCACTCTGGCCAACTCACTCGACAACAACTCTACGCTTCTACATCTCGACATTCAATTCGGAGTGCCTCACTCCGCCGTGGCCAGACTCGTCCAGTCAGCTCTGCGTCTGCCAAGCAAAGGTTGCAGTAAATCCTGCGCGTCAGGGCGACAAACTGTACTTACGTCATAAAAATTTAGCTGCTAAGCTTGGCGTGGAGCAGGTGTGATGCAGGGATTTTCGCTGCATCTGCAATCTGAATGGCTCGACTCTGAAGTATCCGTGCAGCGGGCATCCCAGCCCGTTCTGCATCTTCATATTATTCTGGTCTCCCGACTATACTGGTCAACCGTGAATGGCACACAAATTGGCTGAGTTTGAGCACGTTTGTTTGTCGAACTATGGCTTTGCATTTCAAGCCCAGAAAACTCAGCATTGCCGGAACCAGTACCCCTCAGCTTGCGACAATGGAAGCCCAATCTGAAGAGGGTCTGCGCTGCTCACCATCCGCCCTTACCGCCTCCTGGTGGGGGGGCTGCACCTCCACCGACGCCGCCACCGCCGGCAACAGCAGCCACCAATGGAACCAGCGCTTGCAACAATGCCGCAGCTGCAGCAGGATTTGCGCCACCTGGCATGCCCTTTCCCTTTCCTCCCGCCATGTCCATGCCGCCACCAAAACCGCCGAAGCCCTTGCCGAAGCCTTTGTCAAAACCCTTCTCGAAGCCCTTTCCTTTGAACTTGAAGGTCACTGTGACAGGGGTAGTAAGGCTCTGTGGGACGTTGCCGTTCACATTCTCCACGATCCACTTGGCGTCATCTGCGGTGTTCATGATGACAACTGCCGCAGCTGCTGTTTTGCCCGGAGCAACCGGGAGCATCCGAGCATCCTTCACGATGCCATACTGGCCAAAGATGGACTTGGCGAACTCAGCGGTGCAATCGACAGGGAGGCCTGTCACGAACAGGGCTGGACTGGGTGGGCCACTCGGAGGCGTCTGCATCGTCGCGGTATGCCGATGTCGTGCTGCTGGGCACGGATCAGAGGTAAATGGCAAGACGCTGGTCCGACGGGTTATCCGACAACCTAATTTGCAAGTCATGTTAGCATGATTCTAAGATGTTGCGGCTCTGTGTACCTGTGTCGTGCTGAACGACTGTATATATAGCGTTCGCTTCATCAATCTCTTTGGCGAGACCAGATCGCTGAACCAGGGCGCGGCGATATCTATTATACAGGCGCATGTCTCACACACTCCCCTAACTTATGCATCAGTGCCTTCGACCTCCTGCAACCCCGTTGATGCATGCGGCAATCCGTTGCGACTCATCATGTCTCACCCGCAAAGTCAAAAGCACAAGCCGCGGGTCTCCTGCACCTGCAAGCCCCAGCCAGCCGCGAGCAGCCTTCAGGTCTGCAATTTCAGCTTAACCGCAGTCACAGGGGATCAGCACCAGAAGTGACGATGTAGGATGATGTAGGCATCGCCTTGTTCCTGTAAAGAATTGTAAAGCCCTCAGCAACTGCCTCGCGACGCTTGCTGTGCCGGATATCTGAGCATACCTGCATGGCCTGTTCCATGCAACGGGGTGCATACGCGGCCGCTGCAAGGTCTAAAAAACAGGCAAGACGGCCACCTGAAACTTACATGCATATAACATGCAGCACGAAAACAGTCCTCGGATCCACAGTCGTTCAGTCTCACCCGTGCGTGGCAACCACTTGGAGGGGGGGGGGGGAAATCCTGGCTTACATATGTGCTGCCCCAAGATCTCCCAGTAGCATCACTCCACAACGAACAGACGGTGCTAGAAGGATGCACTTTGAGCGTGTCGGAATACCGCATCCATGAGAAATGCTGTTGGACGGACGGACGTGAGTGCATGTTGCAAAGCGGGCTCATGCCTGCGCTTTCAGAATTCCTTTATACACCTCGCCAAGCAGATCGTAGTGCCTTGGGTGCCGCTTCCACGGACCTGTGCCAAGTGACAAGATCAGAAAGCCGTGAGCTGAAGACCACGGCAGCTAGGATCCCGATCTACTGGGATGTATCATCAGTACGGGGCGCATCTCGACCCGGCGCCTTCGTAAGTGCTCTCCCGAAATTGCCCGACTGCATCAGCTGTCCTTGGGCAGCTACCCACTTTGCAGCAGGCTCTGTGGCTGGCATGTTCGAGGTTGCCAATTTGTCTTTGCAGATGTACTTCTAAGTCGGGGCACTTTCTTCGGCTTGGTCTAGGACACTGCAGTATGAAGTATGAGTCTTTGGTGAGGCCTCGAGCCTCGAGTTTCTTCGGCTAGATTTTGTGAGACGGGGGGATTATGGGGCATTATATGCGACTGACATCCTGGAACACATCATCCGAAGACAGCCCTCCAGGGATCCTGCCTCCGAAGGTCCGAAGACTCCCGAATGGCCTTCCAAAGATGCGCAAATCTATGCAAGAGAAGTTCAAGTTCCCACTCTCGCTGGCACAACCACATAAGGGGAGCACTGAGGTTAGCAGCGCGCACTTTAACTGCGTCCGCCAAGCTTCCTTTCGGCCCTATGATATGTTCCTGAATTTCCACTCAGCACCGCCGGAAGCAGTACCCCGTCTGCGCTGCTCACCATCCGCCCTTGCCGCCTCCTGGTGGGGGGGCTGCGCCTGCACCGACGCCGCCACCGCCGGCAACAGCAGCCACCAAAGGAACCAGCGCTTGCAACAATGCCGCAGCTGCAGCAGGATTTGCGCCACCTGGCATGCCCTTTCCCTTTCCTCCCGCCATGTCCATGCCGCCACCAAAACCGCCGAAGCCCTTGCCGAAGCCTTTGTTCTCGAAGCCCTTTCCCTTGAACTTGAAGGTCACCGTGACAGGGGTAGTAAGGCTCTGTGGGACGTTGCCGTTTACATTCTCCACGATCCACTTGGCGTCATCTGCGGTGTTCATGATGACAACTGCCGCAGCTGCTGTTTTGCCCGGAGCAACCGGGAGCATCCGAGCATCCTTCACGATGCCATACTGGCCGAAGATGGACTTGGCGAACTCAGCGGTGCAATCGACAGGGAGGCCTGTCACGAACAGGGCTGGACTGGGTGGGCCACTCGGAGGCGTCTGCATCGTCGCGGTATGCCGATGTCGTGCTGCTGGGCACGAATCAGAGGTCTATGGCAGGCCCACCCGAACACACCTGCTAACACAAACACACAAAATCGAGGAAGACAGTCTGACTCTGCATGTCGTGTTGGACTGCATGACTTGAATGACTCAGTCTCTGTCTGCATCGGTGGCTTTCAAAACCAGATCGTGGAGCCAAAGCGCGCAAGGCATGCATTCTGCCTATACGAAAGCGAAGAATGTGCGTCTCTTGATGTCTCTTCACCTGCTACACCTTCATCCCACAGACACCCAGCACCTGGATACGCTGCCAGCAGTGTGCATTGTAGGCCGCAGTGCAATAGCGGGTGTAGCATGGAGCAGCCGTTGAACTTGGCAACAGCTCGCCATGCAAGCGGAGAGCCTCATCATCAGCCCCTGCCAGACTCAGTTGCCGGAGAGGCCTGCAGGTATCATTCCCAACTCTTAAAGTCATTTACGCCTGGTAGCTGCGGCGAGCGGCACTCACTACTGCGTTGTCAGTCGACAGCTGATGTAACGAACACCAGGTGGGCCAAGCCCCACAGCACAGAGTGGCTGTAGCTGCTTCTCTACACTCTATACAGTCAGGCTGAGTTCTAAGAAGCATTCAGGAAGCTTGGCAAAGGCCATGGCACTCTTCAGAAACACTGAACCCATGATTCTGATGATGGTGCTCGCGGTGGTGGCGATGAAGCAATTGAAACTCAGACTCGATATCCTGACAATTACTGCTTGATGCTATTACTGTTTTGTGCTCAGCTCTGAGGACTTTCCACCTGTTCGTAAAGCTCGTCCGACCATGCCGCACCTGCCCAATTGTTGTCAGTAGTGGCGTCGAGCTGGCCACGCTGGCATCCTGACATACGGGCAATTGCTGCCGCGATCTTCACTATAGACAAGGGCGCAAGTCTTCTGCAAGGGGAAACCTCTCATCTTGAGGATTCTGCGACTCTAGATCTAGAACTCGCAATGAAGATCGACAAGCAGGATTTCTATGACCAAATTCAGACAGTTGAGGAGCTGCGGAGATGCACACTCTAATTCTACTGCTGCCAAGGCAGTGGCAAAATCAAATGTGGGCACATCTTATGTTAAGTTGCGGCTAAGCCACACGGCAAGAAAACAACATGCGCTCTAGTGGATGAACGGCAGTCACAAGCTGAGGGTGACACTCGCAGTCTCCAGGTGAAGTAGGCCTTGCTACGAATCACGATTTAAGGCTTGCGCAAGCTGGTGGCAATCAAACTTCCTATGGTCCGCAAAGACAGCACTGTTGTTTCGTCCCTGCAGGCCTCCACGAACAGATTGGAGTACCAGCTTTCGCGTTTTTCAAACCTGCCAAGTCGAACACCTCCGAAAGGCTGCCCTTCATGTGTGAAGGTCGACACCACCGTAGTGGGTGCTCGGCAAGGCAAGAGCCCGCACACGGATGGAACCAGGCACGCAAGACATTCAGGTTTTTCTTGCTGACGCCGGCCGCATCTCGGCATGCATGATAAGACAGGCCACTACAGCATGCTGCTAAAATTGCCTGCGAGTACACAAGCACGCTCTAGGCAAGTGTACCATCATATCACCGTCAATCGCCCACAGCTTCCGCTGGATGACCAGGTCAGTTGCCTCTCACCAGCCTTTGCCCTTGCCGCCTGCGTTGTAGGCGACGGCACCGTTGCTGCCCCAATCACCTCCTCCACCGCCCCAAGTAGGACCTCCTCCCTTGCCCCAACCAGCGCAGCCACCTCCCCAACCACCACCTCCTCCTTTGCCCCAGGCACCACCCCAGTCGCCTCCTCCTTTGCCCCAGCCACCACCCCAACCACCGCCACCGCCCATCATCGACATCATGCCCCACATGCCATCCATGCCCTTCTTCCCCTTGCCACCACCTTTTCTCTGCTCCCGAGGCGTTGCGAAAACAACCGTCACCTGGCTCATCAGCCCCTGTGGCACGTTGCCGTTCACGTTGTCCACAATCCACTTTGCATCCTCTAAGGTCTCCATGATAACGAAAGCGGCTGCTGCGGTCTTGCCTGCCAAAACCGGGAGCACCGTGGTTTCCTTGACGGCACCATACTGGCTGAACACTTGCTTGGCGCTCTCGCTGGTACTGTCCATTGGCAGACCTGTCCTCAGCCACAATCACTCAAAACAGTATATAGATGAGATACTGAAGCTGCAAACGCAGACGCACCGTTGACGCATCAGCTTGACACGAGCCTGCTGACTGTTCGACCGAGCATCACAAACAAGGTTTCGCTTGGAGGAGGAGAAGCCATGGCGATCAATGAACGCGGCTGTACTACTTTTTATGCAAAATCTCCGCACATGGAATGCACACACCTCAGAGAAAGCTATCCTGCAGCTGCATAGCTTTGCAAACTGTCATGCTCACGATCTCACAGGTTAAGCTATTCGCAAAGCTTGAGTCATGGCACATCAACCGATGAACAAATCGCGCGGGTCAGCTTGTTCGGCTGACAATGGCTGACAGCTTGCAAATGGGCCACTCCCCACTGACGCAGACCAAAGCTTTCAACTTCAACGGCGCGGACTGACTTGCAACTTGCCCCCCAACAGTGGGCCAAAAGGCACCGAAGTTGCAGCAAAGAGTCCTCCATTCATTTCCACCGGGCCATGCGCCCTTCCCTTTACATTTTCCTTTGACGGAGCGATGGGGGTTGCGACGGCTCTGCTGCAACAGTGGGTTTCCCTTGCCCCAAATTGAAATGCCGATGCGACTGGGCGGCCTGTCGAAGTAAGTCGGGCCCCGCACACACCATTCCGCCGTGTTTGTTGAACCATCGATCGGCTTTTCAACAGCCTGAACTCCGTGTGGTGCGAAGTGGACTTGCATAGCACCTTTCGTTTATAAGATTGTTTCGAACAGAAATGTTCGACCTATGCTATCCTGCCTATGTTTCATTGAACTGTTGCGCCGACGATGGAATCCCAGCGATGTGCGCGCAGATTCCGCTTGAGCCTTTCGCACTCAAGGCCACTGAGCTGTGGTCACGAGAATGTGTGCGGGATCCCACAGCCATCAGATCATCCATTACTCCTGTGGGTCTCAGGTAAGCGGCTTCTGATGGGCCAGCAAAGGCCCTTGGACGTGTGTCAGTGGCCTGCAGTGCACAAAGTCCGAGATTTCACAACAGGTCTGCCATGGTGTAGGTGAAAAGTGTATGAGCCTAGCTTTGGAAGGAACGCTTCTAAAGGCTCTGCTCTGTGTTCAGGCAAAAAACCTTGCAAACACAGTGCTGAAATACCTCACCCTGCGCGCGCGTGTAACGCACAAGACTGCCCCAGGAAAGATACGCTTCGTCTTTATCACTTGTTGATGCAAGCCGGTGCCTGACAAGCTTCGGCTAGCTGCCCAGTGGCTCCGGGACAAGAGCCTTGCAGGCAGACGGGAACCCGCTCTCAAGGCATACAAAAACCACCTTCACCTGCCATGACCTCTTCAATTGGAAGCCTGCAGGTGACCCAGCCCGAAATGTCAGCAATACATTTACATATATATATATATGTATGTATGTATATATTTATATATATATATATGTGTGTGTGTGTGTCTGTGTATGTTTACTATAAAGTAACAGATGCATCAACCGAAAGCAACAAGCGAGGACCGGACTTGGCCCATGGCTTAGCTTGCCAGCTCAGTGTCGCTCTCGCTCGGCGATGCAGATCGGAGTCGAAAGCCCTGAGGCAAGCAATATAAGGGGTTTCCGGAAAGGGGACCCTAATAGGGTACCCTAAATAGTAGGATCCTTAGTATAAGGACCCCAAAATAAGGTACCCTAAATTTTTGGAAACCCCCTTTTAAGGAATGGGAATGGCTCGGGGGGGGGTGGGGGGTGGGGGGGGGGGGGGCCATGCCGAAGTCTAAGCATCCCTTCTTTAAGGGACCCTGAGGAATACTGTAACGTTAGCAATCAGTCAGGCTTCTATCTTCACAGACATCAAAGCAAGGAACCTGTTTGTAGGCATGGGCTTTTGCAAGCAAGCTGATGACGTTCAGGTGCCTTATGGACTCGGGCATTGTCAAACAAGCTCTCCTTGAAA